GAAGCAAACCACACCAGAGCACCCGCAAACCACCCACTAAACAAACAACAACAACAAAAAACAACCCGAAAACAAACAGTACATGAAACCAAGTGTCCACTCATATCCACTTGGTCCCTTTGGGAGCCTTTCCACGCCGCTTTTACTTCTCCAACAAAAGTAAAAAGGTTAAATGGAGAGGAGGATGAAACAAAAGCAACAAACAAACAAACAAACAAACAAACAAACAACCCCCCCCCCAAAAAAAACTCCTCCAAAACAAAGAAACAAACAACCAAAAAAACAAAACAACCCCAAAGAAACAGAATGTGAAATCCTTGCATTTACTCACCACCACTTGGTGCCTTTGGGAGCCTTTGTCCTGAGCTTCTTGGCGTGTGCCCGCGGCGTGAGCACTCCCAGCACGAGCAGAAGCACCACAAACGACACTCGCATTGTCTTCTGGCATCAGGATAACCACCGTCTCATCAAGCCGGACGATGAAAGGCTCGCTACACAGGGGTACAACCTCCTCAGAGGTCTCCGAGGATTGGGAATATGATGATAGAACTTTTTGCTTTTGCGTCGTATTTGGTGTTTGTAATCCGTGGAAAAAGAAATCCTTAGATTGGTTACGGTTCAGACGACATCAGTAGTCTGACCGCCTCCAGAAACCAGACGTTGAAATATTCGCTCAAGAAGGACTCACGATATGTTCAACTAGTTTTTAATTTTATTTTTGTTATTATTGTGATTTTATTGTTTTTCTTTATTCAAAATAAAAAGTATTATGAGTTGTATTTGATGCTTTCGATGTTTAAAAGGAACTTTAAATAGTTAAGGTTGATACAGCAACAGGATATATCAAGCTAGACGCTGCAACAATCGTCAAAATAAGATCACATCAGTCGTCCTAGTTATTGTATTTGTTGTTTTTATCACGAAATAATATTTTCTCGGTGTCTTATTTGTTCGTTTATTTGTTTGTTTGTTTTGTGTTCTTTAGAAAAAAATCCTAGCTTGTAGAGAGTTAGGCAGCAGTAGACTTTTGGAAAGTGTATTTAATCCTCCTTTGTGTGTCCGGAGTATCCTGGGTAAACGTGAAGAAATTCTTGAAATAATCCTTGTACGTCAGCTAGAGTAGACCAACTGAACCTCAATGATAAACAACAGTTTGTCACTCTGAGCCTAGCTGTGTAGAAAAATAGATATATTTGTTGTTGATCGTTTTCCTCTGGTCAGAGAATTCGAAGAACCCTCACAGGAATTTGAAACATGTTTGGCCTGTGATTCAGAACGACACTGGAAGCACAATGTTGACGCAAGGTTTTGCTGTCTGCTGTTCTCCTGAGCCCGATGTCTATTGAGACAGCAGTTTCCGGTACATTTATCGGCCCTTCCGTGTCCTGCAGACCGTCTCTTTTCCCAAGAAAACTGAATTTGTTTCAACTTTCAAGCAAAAAATACTTAAAACAGAATAAGATCAACAGCATGTTCCGAAACAATCTCAGAGACGAATCATTGGAAACTTTTTTCTCCTCAAGTGAGGTGTGAAATTAAAATAGACAAAGCTTACTACTCGCTGTTCTATAGAGCACGACAACGGGCAACGAGTCCCAGAAAGCGAAGACAAAAAGTTCTTGACTGTTCAGGTTCCGTAGGTGATCCGCAGTATCCCAGCACAGGAACCCCGTAGACTGCTGAGTTCAATACTTCCGTGTAGTCTGCACATCAGAACCGTCGGCTTACTCCGTCTGTCATCTTGGAGCTGAGGAGACTTAATCCCGTGGAGGTAAGGGATCCACGAGTCTTCACGTGGTTTCGAGCCACAGGAAAGAGAAAAAAAAACAGGAGCGTAGTTTCTTTTTGCCAGAGCTTCTTCGCTGTGTTCAGAACCTGTCACCTCTGACCCCCGGAGCCATCGCACGTCTCGACTCACACAGAGACCCGAAGGTGCAAACCCCTCTTCCCGGGGCCGGGATGGCGCTCAATGGGGGGAAGACTTGGCACGCGCCAACAGGTTGCAGCACTCACCGGGTTTTTTTGTCGCTTGTTTTGTTTTTGTTGCTCTCCAATAATTTCGTTCCCCTCATCCGAGAGGCCAGAGCAGGGATCTGACGACGTGTTCACCACTCATTCACAAGCAAAAAAACTTCCTCCAAACTCGAGCAGCGGAGATCTACACGTACAGATTCTGGGGTGTTGCGCCGTCTCGTGGTTGGTTGGCCTGATGTCCTCCCTAAATCTGAGATGTGCTGAGATTTGTAGCACGTATCTCGTACAGTCCAAACTCAAGAAATTCTGGAGCAACGAAAATCTAAAATTCTTGTTCCCGTCACTTCTCCTACTCCCTCCCCTGAGCCTCTTCGTTATGAGCTATAATGACAGATGATGATGCCAAATTCAAGGTCCATTCCAAGTGTTGATTATGTGAACAGAAAAACGCGTTGCGAATTTCGAGCAGATAACTCGCGTCGTCTTTTTTCCCTCTAAAGGCTGTCTTTCTCATCAAGGAACGAACACAGAGCGGGCTTTCCCCCTAGCCTTTCAGCGAAGTGTCGAAACAGAGACTTAGCAAAAACGTTATTGGCTCTGGCACGCCCAAAGGACCAACTGGCTTTAAAAACTCGGGGAATACCACCTGTTGTCACACCTGTTGCTAAAGGTAAAAAGATTTCTATGCAGTTTAGTTAGATTTTTTTTTCCTGAGGAGAGATTTTTCCGATAGACTCTTCCAAATAGATTCTTACGTTTTAGGTAGGGGTTTGAATCCGGTGGACTGTTGCAAGAGTGTGCTATCAAAACACGTAGTAAATCACTTTCTACACTCAGAGCCTGCTCCTAGAGTCTCCGAGTGTTATCTTGGTGCCGGCACCAGAGTAGTGCTACCAGGAAGCGGCGGCAATAACTGCGTGGCACAAGCTAGGAGCGGGTGGATGAAATCAGTGAGGCATTGCATCAGGCTGAACGCGGCTCTCATAAACCACGGAGAGTAGAGGCCGGGGCTCACACGATGACTCACACACTCGATGCCTGGCCCCCGTCACGTTTGGGGGAAGTAGGGGGGAGTGAGTGAGGTGGGAGGGGGGAGGGGTACTTTGTTACCACTTGAGAACCGCTCCTTACACGAATGAATCTCCTCATGAAACAAGATTCTTTCAAATTGTTCACCAGTAGATCCTTATCAGCAGCTTATGAGACAGGTTCTATCGGCGCCCAGTTGGTTGGCCAGTAATATACCGAGTTGTGGCGCTGTAGAACCGGTTGACGGCTTGAGAAATCCGGGAAGAGCTTCTGCACACCCTCCTACGTCACTTCCGCCGGTTAGGTTTTGAACTTGCAGCCCATCCTGCGCCCGTGCCGTGGTCTAGTGGTAGCGGGCGTCCGAGTTTTGCAGTCTGTGGAAAACATGATAAGGAAATCAGGCTTTATGATAAGGAAATCAGGGTTTATTACCTACTGGAGTTCTTTTCCCAGATTGGGATTGATTTTCCAGGAAAGTTCCCAGTCACCTCGTAAGGTGGGAAAATACGAGGTGCTTTGAGCCGACTGAGAGCTACTACACAGTGCCGGAGAGCATAAGTGAGGCAGCGTGGTGGAATCAGGCTCTCGTCAATTTTTGGGCATGTAGAGTTATTGGTGTCATCTTAAAGCTTGTTCACTTGTCTTTTTTAAGTGAAAAAAATATCCATTTATCTTGAATACAAGTCGAGATATTTGCGAATGAAGAAGATGGAGGTTACCTGTTTTCAGAGGTAAAATTAGTGAGAAAATGGTCTCCAAAGATAAGTCATTTCCTTAGCTTAAGAGTCTGTGGCAACTGAAAATTGACATTTATTGTACCCTTAATCAACGTTTTTCAGAAAAATCCACTCATAGGCATGAAAGGTGTTGAACCAAAAAACAAAAATTTGATAAAAATTCACAAACCTGCAGAAAAATGCAAGTTTCTTCATTTTGATTATTTTGACGAGAGCCTGATTCCACCACGCTGCCTCACATTTTAAGGTTGTGAAGAAAACTTAGTACTTTTCCTACAAAGTTATGCCTCTGCTTCGTGTGTGGCAGGGGTAATCCTATGCGATACATCACCTTAAAGTTTCACATTTAGCCCCATAAAGAAATCCTCGTCAGTTCTACTTGATGAGTTGCGGTAATCAAACGATAAAGAAACACTCATTTGTTGAGTTATTTTAGCTGATGAAAAAACGAGTCACGCACGCCATGTAAGGTTTTTGGGTATGATCGTCAGCTGTACTGCCAAATTGGAACCATTGGAGTTTGGGGGGGGGAACTATCAAGTCCACGATTTTTGGAAATTTCTTTTCCTGGGTCCTGACTCTGAACACGAGATTTTAAATCATGAACTTTTCGTTCATCCCATAAGCAATAAAATTGTTCGAAAATAGCTCTCCAATTTGATTTACCGGGTGCATTAGAGAGACGAAACCAGACACGATGTTCATACACCCTTCCTTCTTTTTGAGGTTTTTGTTTTGTTTTGGTTTTTATGTTTGTTTTTCTTTTCTTTTGTTTTTTGTTTGTTGTTGATCTTGTTGTTTTTCGAAATGAATAAGACTTTTCATTTCTGTAATTTTTTTTACAATGCCGTAGAAATGTAATTACTTTAACAAACGAAAAAGACACAAAGGATGCACGCAGTAAAAAAAACAACGACAGAACTGCAGAGTTCTAGAGAAGCGCATTTAAACAACTATTGACAATGTCTAGGAAAGGGAAATTAGATTTTATGTGTGAGTAATAGGTGTATGGAAAAGAAACAGGTCCTACCAGTGCCACCCTCTTGCCACCCATTACACTGTGTGATTTTTTAAAATTAATATAATACGCACTGAGCATTTTTGTAGAAAATGGAAATGAGCAGGATAAATGTAATTTATTATTATTATTATTATTATTATTATTATTATTATTATTATTATTATTATTATTATTATTATTATTATTATTATTATTATTATTATTATTATTATTATCATCATCATCATCATCATTATTGTTTTTATTTTTATTTTTATTATTATTATTATTATTATTATTGTTGTTGTTGTTGTTGTTGTTGTTGTTGTTGTTGTTGTTGTTGTTGTTGTTGTTGTTGTTGTTGTTGTTGTTGTTGTTGTTGTTGTTGTTGTTGTTGTTGTTGTTGTTGTTGTTGTTGTTGTTGTTATTATTACACGATGAATTTAGGCTTGAGAAAAAAAGTTTGACACCAAAAAACAAGGCATTAATGTTCTCCTTTTCACAACGTGATGACGTGATGAGCAAAATAACATGTTCATCGGTTGTGGTTGGATAGTTCATGTACTTGTGTCAGCATATGTGAGCCTTCGTGGTGAGATCAGGCGCTCGTCAAAATAATGACATCTAAGAAATCAGCATTTTTCAGACAGATTAGACATTTTTTAGAGATTTATGTTTTTATTTTTTTTGCTTATTGGGGCAACACCTTGAATGTCCATTAAAAAAAACACTTTTATATGTGGAATTTATGGAAAAACTTTGATGATTGAAGGCACAAAAAATGTAAATTTGTAGTTTTCAAGAATTCTAAAGCTATGGAATTCACAAAACTTTGGCGGCAATTCTCTCGCTAGTTTTACTTCTGAAACCAGGCGACCCCACCTCATTTAATCCCACATACCTTAACTTCTATTCTAGATATTCTTGATATTTAAAAAAATCAAAAGCAAGGCAAATGAACAGGCTTTAAGATAATACCAATAACTCTATAATTATGCCCCAAAGTTGACGAGCGCCTGATTCCACTGCGACGTGACATAATTATTGTGTGAACGGAAGGTATTGTACAACGCGTAAGTCTGCACTGTTCAGAATAGGGTGCCGTAGAAATGTTTCAGCATCTGCAAAATTTTATAAACTTTTATATCCAGTCTTAATTTGGAGTAGGATTTTCACGAGGTACTTAGAAAAATGTGTCAGTATGGTTGTAATTATTACTATGTGACGTCGGTGGCCTAGTGGTTAGGCTACTGGAGTCGTAATCGTAAGGTTGCGGGTTCGGGGGTTCGAGCCGCGGGCCCGACGTTGTGTCCTTGGGAAAGGCTCTTTACACGGATTTTCCTCACTTCACCCAGGTGGGAATGGGTACCCGGCCATAGACAGCGAAAGATCTTATCAGTATGTTAGTGTTTTAGCGCCTATAAATGGCCGCTTTCACTGTATGCTTCCCAGGAATTTGAGGTTGTTTCAGAATGCTCTCAGGTCTGCCGGGGTAATAGTACAGATTGTGAAGCGCATAGAACTTGCTATTGAGCGGGGATTTTCGCTATACAAATGCTATCCATCTACATATTATTATGTTTCAAGAACTACGAACACACAAAATAAAAAATTGTTAAAAGTTTGAATTTGGGGTCTAGAGGTTATGGTGTTCGACTCTCATTCAATAAATCCTGGGTTTGAAACCTGATAGTGATGGAACATTTTCTTCTCTAAAATTTTCTCCATTCATCTCCTTTCCTGCTCTATAACCAGGTTCTGTCGGCTGCTTTCGTCTCCACTTCCTGCCCCCCTCCCCCCCTCCCACCCA